TCCTTCAGATGCAGGAGTTCTTTGTCAGGTGCAGGGCCTCTTTATCGGGTGTGGGGTCCTTGCTGACCTCCAGGAATTCTCCCTCATCTCCAAGATTTTTTCTTAGATTCTGGGCTTGCCCTCAAGTGCAAGGTCTCTTCATCAGGTGTTGGGCTGTCCCTCTGCTCTAGAGTCTCTCCTTCAGGTACAGAGGCTTACTTTTGGGTGGAAGGCTGTCCCACGGGTGCAGAGTTGCTGTTTGTACAGCACTGTTTCTTAGATCCAGGGACTTTTCATCACATACTCAGGCTTTCCCTCAGGCACAGGGCTCTTCCTCAGGTTCTGGGCTCTCCCTTAAATGCAGGTTCTTTTCATCAAGTTTGGGGGGGTTTGGGGGTGCAGGAACTCTCCGTCATGTGCAGGGCTCTCCTTCAGGGAAAGGGCTCTCCCTCAGGTTCAGGGGCTCTTTCTCACAGCAGGGGAACTCCCAGATTCAGGCTCCCCCAGGTGCAGGGTTCCCTCAAGTGTCGGGCCCTACCTCAGGTGCAGGACTCTTTCCCAGGTTCAGGGCTCTGTCTCAGGTGCAGGACTCTATTCATCAGCTGCAGGGCTCTCTCCATCAGATGCAGGGCTCTCTCCATCAGATGCAGGGCTCTCTCCATCAGTTTCAGGGCTCTCCCTCAGGTGCAGGACTCTTTACGTCAGGTGCAGGGCTCTCTACATCAGTTGCAGGGCTCTCCCTCAAGTGAAAGACTCTGTCCCAGGTTCAGGATTCTGTCTCAGATGCAGGACCTTCCCCCATCAGATGCAGAGTTTTCTCCATCAGTTGCAGGGCTGTGTCTCAGGTACAGGACTCTCTCCCAGGTTCAGGGCTCTGTCTTAGGTGCGGGACTCTCTCCATCATGTGCAGAGCTCTCCCTCAGGTGCAGGGCTCTCCCTCAGGTGCAGGACTCTCCCTCAGGTTCTGGAGCTCCCCCAGGTGTAGGACTCCCTCAAGTGCTGGGCCCTACCTCAGGTGCAGGACTCTCTTCCTGGTTCATGCCTCTGTCTCAGGTTAGGACTCTCTCCATCAGGTGCAGGGCTCTCTTTCAGGTGCAGGACTCTCTCCCAGGATCAGGGCTCTGACTCAGGTGAAGGACTATCTCCATCAGGTGTTGGGTTCTCTCCATCAGTTGAGGGGCTCTCCCTCAGATGCAGGACTCTCTCCCAGGTACAGGACTATCTCCATCAGGTGCAGGGTTCTTTCCATCAGCTGCGGGACTCTCCCTCAGGTGCAGGACTCTTTCCCAGGTTCAGGGCTCTGTCTCAGGTGCAGGACTCTCTCAATCAGGTGTAGGACTCTCTCCCAGGCTCAGGACTCTTCATCAGGTGCAGGATGCCCCACAGGTGCACTCCCTGCATTCCCCCGCCCTCCTTTGTGTGTCTTCGAAGAGGCTGGGAGTGTGGGTAGCAGCTCTAGCTTCCCTCCCGCCCACTGTCAGCAGCCACAGTCATCCAGAGACTCCAGCTGTGGTCACCATCCTACCACCTGCAGCTACATGAATGCAAGGTCCAGAGCGCCTGGCCCGGCCACACAACTGCAAAGTGCTGTGGCCAGTTCCCACCCAGGTTTCCTGGGTGATCATTCCTGATGTCACAGTCCCCAATGTCAGTCCATGATGTCAGAGTTTTTGATGTCACTGCCCCCTATGTCTCATCCCTGATGGCCCAGGGAAGGCAGCTGGGACTTGGGAACCCTACACAGCATTCCGGGGTGGGACCAGATGATGGGGGCTGTGAAACCTGGGATCAGGGACAGTGTGACAGGTTCTAGGTAAGGGCCACATGTACCCAACAGCCATGAGGACATGAGACTCACATCCACCCCCACCCTGCTATCCCAGGCTCTCTCACCTCCTTTGTGTGAGTCACCAAAGACTTCATGGCCACAACACAGCAATGGGAAGGACCCTTTAGGCCCACAGGGAGAACCTACCTTGGGTGGCATCTTGGCTGCTTGGGGGCTGAGGTCAGTGCCTCTCATGGGAATGAGAGTCCCCCCCTCTTCTCACAGTGCAGGGACCCCACCCCCAAAAAACCAAAAGCGAATCCCTTCCTATTCTCCAAACGTATCAAGTTTTTGTGAGAATACATGGGATACATATAAAGCCTGGTCCAGAGTAAGTGACAATAAGCATTATTTCACAGCTGAGAAGCAGACTGAAAAGCACTATTTAATCTGAAGCCATACTGCTAAGAAGTGGCAGACTGGACACTTCAGTGCCAAATTCTGAGTTCTTTCTACAACACAGATATGTCTAACACCCACCACAGAAGCTGATGTGTTAGGGGAACATTTGCATGGCAGTTTGTATTTGAAAAAATGGTCCCCAAGATGCAATTTGTGGAATCGCTTCACCCCATTCTGCAGTTTTTTATTTTTTATTTTTTATTTTTTTGAGTTGGAGTCTCACTCTGTCGCCCAGACTGGAGTGCAGTGGCCGCTCCCAGCCACTGCAGCCTCGCCTGCTGGGCTCCGGCAATCCTTGCGCCTCAGCCTTCCACGTAGCCGGAATTACAGGCATGCGCTACCATGCCCGGCTGATTTTTTGATTTATTGTAGAGATGAGGTCTCGCTGCCCAGGCGGGTCCCGAACCCATGGGCTCAGGCAATCCACTCATCTCAGCCTCCCAAAGGCGCAGGATTACAGGCTGAGCCACTGAGCCCGGCATTCTGCAGTTTTTAAGGGATTTCTACAGAAGCTGACGTGTGGACCCAAATCTCTTAGCCATCAGTGCCATGTTTTTCCTATATCTTTTCCCAACATGCTCAGCCAATTTCTTTCAAAAATATTTATCATATATCCTTAAAGTGAGTGCTCCTAGTGTTCAGAAGTTGCTCTTTATTTAATCTACACACTTCACTTTCTCATGCACAACTACACACACACACACACACACACACACACACACGCACAGTCACATTATACAATACCAGTACATAGGGGCTATAAAATGAATGTTGTTTACTGCCATCTACCTCCACAAATTGGACTTTTATCTTTTCTTTACAAGATAAAAGGAAAAAGAAAAGTGCAATAACAATAAATTCCAGGTTGAGTAATTATGTGAAATAGGCAGTAGATCACAGCTGAGATAGTGTGTATGGCTGATAAGAGCCCAGGCCTGGCCTGGTGGAAGCCCCACCTGACCACTTGCTTGCTGACCTTGAGAAAATTACTCAACATCTCTAAACCTCAAGTGCCTAGCTACCTGCAAAGCAGAGATTAAAAACAGAACATGCTTCATAGGGTGCCCTGAGAATTAAATAGAAAAATTTCTATACCATACTTACTGTAATTCCTGGAAGGTAATGACACCTAATAAATGTAAGTTGCTATCTATTATTATTATTATTATCATTATTATTATTATTATTACTACTACCATTGTTCTTATTATTATTCAAAAGCCATAGAAACAACAGGAAGTCAAACCAAAAAAAAAAAAAGGACAAATAATGAGATTTGAAAACTCACTTTGGATGTAAATAGGGGTTGTATTTGTAGATAGCTTCATAATTTTCCAAATATTTTTGCTTTGCTCATCAGGTATTTGTTGTGCCAGGCAACATACTGAAATCTGCAGATGCTAGTGACTAAGACAGACATGATACCTGTCCATTCCTGCATTCATACAGACCTCAAAACTGTAGGTCTGTAAAATGGGCAAGCCCACTTGGCAGATAAGAAAACAGAGGAACTCATAAGCAGACCTTTATAATACTATAAGAAAGTGTTGTCGGGTTCGGTGGCTCAGCCTGTGATCCCGCGCCTTTGGGAGGCTGAGGTGAGTGGATTGCCTGAACCCGTGGGTTTGAGACCCGCCGGGGCAACTTG